TGATGACGAATAATTTGTAATGCAGTGAATGTTGCAGAATATTGAGCTGCTGGGAGAGAAGATTTTCAATGTACGTGATCCCATCAGTTGAAAAAAAAAATAGCTTTATCTGAGCCCCAAGCCTTTCCTCCTTGGCAGTGACGTTCAGGGGATGGTGCCTGCCCCTGTTATGAGCTAAATCACCGCTGTGGTGTGGTCAGGGAAGGCACCAGGACTCAGGAGCTGGGAATTGCTCTTTATCTGCTGCCTAGATGTGGCCACTGAGGGAGGAAGCCTTAGGAGTTCTGGGCCAGATCTGGTGAGAAAAGCAGTAAAAATGAATTGTGGCTGGCTGCTAAGGAAAACAGCAGGGGAGGAATAACATCCAGCGTGGATTCAGTGGTGGTAATGAAAGAGCAGGAATGGTCTTCTAGACTGAACTGAAGGGTGGCTTGCTTCTGTTTTGCCAAATTTTATTGCTTATCTTATTGTTTATTTGCTAAGCTACAGAACAGACTTTCAGCACTGTTATCTTAAACGCCTGGTCTAACATTAGAGGCCTCAGTTTGGCAGGAAAGAGCAAGACTTGCCAGAATTTCGTGTTTCAGTCTGGTGAAGTGACTTCATCTCTGTGCTTCCAAAGGAAAAGCTAAGGAAAATTAAGTAGTTTGACCATCTCAGCAGGCTAAGGATATGCTTGTGGCCACTGAGATGAGCAGCATTAAATTAACTGTGAGGTGTCACCTGTTCTCACTTGCATGTATCACTGGTAGTTAACAGTAAGTCCCAATGCTAACAGTGAGTGTCCTGGTGCTGATCATGGGCCTGGAGGCTGTGAGCCCATAGAGATATTACCAGGGCAGATACAACCTATTAGTCTGAACATAGTGCTCAGTAACTTTTAGATTTCAGTGTAAGCTTCCATGGAAAAGCTAGGCAAATGTCCTTCATTTACTTCTGCAGCAACCAAAGTTTCCTTCCGTGTGCTGAAGGGATGCCGTTACTGTCAAACCCTATGGGATAAATATGGAATAAATATGGACTAACACCATTTTAACCATGCTGCTGTTAGGAGTAAAAAATGTGATTTGGGTCTCTCTTCAGAGGCTGTGTAGGAGTGAACAAGCAATTCATCGAGCTAGTTGATATGCTGAGGTGTGTGATTATGGGGCAAAAACAGAGCAGTTGGCAGAGCTGTTTAATTTTCCATCTCTTCCACCCTCCCTCTTCTCCATACCATCTTAATCATGTTAACTCACCTCTCAGCAGAGGAGGTCCTTACAGAATTCAGACTTTTTTTGTGGTTGTATTAAATTCCCTTCATCTATGGGCTCCTACATAGGGAGGAATTACGGGGGCTTTTGGGAACAACTTGGGCTCCATTAGCTGCTGTTGTGCTAAGTTTGTGTACGATCCACATTTATACTGAGCATAACCCTGAAGAGCTACCAAATGAACAGAAAAGGAATCTACAGGGGAAACAGGAAGAAAGCCTAAGGGTACAGCAGCATTGCATGACAGGGATAGAAACATGATGCTGGGAGCAGGATATGTAGAAGTTAATGAGAATGAAAGGACATGCATTTTGAATGTTTATTTCAATGGAAGTTGAGTGCTCATGTAGCTTTAGCTATATCTTGTTGCTGAAATACTTTCCAAAGCGTGGTTGTAGGCATCAATCCTAATTCTGTGTCTCACCAGAATGTTACCATACAAAAGACTCATTCATGTCTAGAAAAGCAGGTACTGAAATTGAAGCCTCAACTCTTATTGTCGTCACCTCATTTCTGTCAGAAGCTGTGTTCTCCCCACCACTTTTTTTCTTGTTAAAGAACAGATGTTACAACCCTCACTGGGTTTACTTTCATTAGACTCCAGCAGCCTACTTGTACTGGTCTGCACTTGGTACTAGGCTTGTGCAGATGCAACTGCATGAAGTTCAGTGAAGTTATATCCAGTTTATACTAGTAAGAGAGAACCTACCTAGTGTGAGTCACCTCTTCATTCTCTTCAGCATGAGAAAAAAAAAATCTTGGACCTGTGAGTAATACATTCCATGACAGAAAACATGAGTTAAATGGATGTGGTAATTCTTCTAGCACAGCGTGTATAGAGTGGGAAAAGAAACAGAACTTGAAAAGATTTGATAATGTCACCAAGTCTCGTGCAGGCACAAGCAATGCGTAGCCCAGAGGTGCAGGAAGCTCATTTTTTCTGTCAGTTTGGTTTTGATATCAGAAGATCAAGTGTCCCTTGGTTCCACTCAGGTGGAAGACACATCTGGCTCCAGATTTTTCCCAGTGGCAATTTAGTTTCTCGGTTCTTCCTTGCACAGACTCCTCGTGGAGAGATAAACCAGGGTAACTTGTCACACCAACAAAAAAAACAGCACCTCACCCCACCATGTTAACTCGCATTCAGTGGCTGGTTGCAACCATCCGTTGATGCTGACTGTGGTGTGAAAAGAGGCACCTTCTAATTTAATGACCTTATTTCATGGCAGATGGGTGCAAGCAGTGACTTGCACTCTTACAGCAGGTAGATGTCGACACTGTCTACTTTTTCAAAGCAAACTGAAGGCTGTTTTTGAAAACAGCCTAACTTTGTCAGCATCATTTATATTTTTTATATTTTTATATTGTTGCTGAATAGTGTTGTAGAATTTTTTTCTTTTTGAAATTCTGGAAGTTCAGGTGTACAGTAAATGTTGTGCTAGACGTCAGCAGTAGTATGGATGCAGCTACTAATTTCTCTCCAAAGCAAATGCATGTAGTAGTGATGCTGAATATAAGAATAGAAAGTCATGTTGTCTTCTTTCAACTGAAACAAGCAAATTCAGTGCCTGTAAATGTGGTCACTAACTGGGTACACGTAAACCTTGACTGTAATTGGACTGCAGGTGTGGAAACAACACTACAAATCAATAATAAAAATGAATAATTTAATAATATAAATGTATATTAAAACTGTGACTAGGCAAATGCTTTCTTCCAGTATGGTTATCCAATGCAGTAAAAATATTCTTGACAATAAGGTTAAAGGTATTACTGATAAGAAAAGTGATGCTTTACTCAAATGCAAACAGCACCCTAAGGCTGGGCCACCTCCTTGCAAGAAACCTTTAGTCAATCAGGAGATTATTAACAGTATTTTTTGCTGGAATGTGAAGGCTGACTTCACAAAGAGAAAGACTTTACAAAATCATGTGAAGGTCACGAGCCAATAAAGGGAAAAATGAGTTCTGATAGTTCTTCAACACACCACGATATACTTAAAGGGGAAATAAATGACTTGTAAATAACTTAATTTTTAAATTTAATATGTTGTATTGATGTAGGAGAAATAAAATTCTGAATAAAACCTTTGGATTTCCTTGGAAGAAGATATTGAAATCAACCTGGATTTGAATGGCCAGGCAAGCAGAAGATTTTTCAGCAGCTTCTTTCTGCAAGAAATTTTAGTGAAGTTCTGTGTTTGTCTGATGGAATACAACTTCCAAATTGGAACTCTGCAGGACAAAATTTCTATTATTCATCCTTTTGTAATTAAAATGAAAATTTCCTATAGAATCAGATGGGCCCACATGGAATTCTGATTGTGTACATCAGCATTGTTAACGTCAGTAAGCTAGACTTGATGCTACTGTTTGTTATTTTACTCTTCTGCATCGCCTGAAATTTAAATAAATAATTCTTCATATGGCCAAGTATAAATAAAATATTCAAAAATCTTTCTGGAGTAAATATCTAGGGCTTAATTTATGGTTCTGGCATGGTCAGAAGCAGTGCTTGAGTACTATTTCTAAGAGTAATATTGAAGGGAACATTTGACAGTCAGTATACACTATCTTAAGTATAAAATAGCACTCTTTTTTTTTTTTTTTAATGTAAATTTTTCCCCCTATTTTTAAGAAAGAATACCCCCTTGTTTGGGTATGCTGGTCCTGTCTGACTTAGACAATATTCTATCTGCACTACTCTCAGAGATGAGGAAGTGGAGTTGGATGCTTACAACACAACACCATTACTGCACATTCAGAAGGCAGGGACCACCTCTTAGTGTCTTGCTGAACAGCAGGATGTTAATTTTGCACTCTTCATTGTAGTCCTCACTGTGTTACCATCACTGCTTGTGAAGTTTAGAGCTCACTAGTGTCAGTTTAACTTACAAAAGCATGGAAGAACTCAAGTGAGATCAGTGCCCTGCTTTGCCAAGCACTGTACAAAGCCATTGAATGCACTGTTGCAAGACAATGAGTTGACATTCAAAGTACAGTGCAGAAATACCTCTGCAGCTGATTGTATGGCCACACAGCAGGGTTTCTGACTGGATGTTGATATCCTGTGCTACTGCCTGTAGAGGACAAACACACCTTGCTAAGAAGAGAAGAGCTTGCAGCCTTTACCACAACTGATGCAGTGGAAAGGTGGGGTTGTTAGGCTAGGATGGTTAGCATCCCATTGTCCTTGCCATTTCTGGTCCTGGGCACAGCTCACTTAGATCCTGATGTACATGCATAGTGGCAACCTGGGATTTGGCAGAGAATAGAACTTGTGAGGACTTGGGTTTTCTTTCCAGAGCAGAGCTGCTGTAAAATACAGCTTTGCACTGATTGACCACAGCAATGTAGCTGATGCATCACATCACCATCACTACAACATAGTGGGCTCTCCACGTCTCAGACCACATTTCTGTGCTGTATGGAGACACCAGAAGTACACGTCAGCATGAGAAGGTGGTTCCTGTCACTTGCTGTTTAGAGTAGTAACTGATTCCTTTCCATCTGCTGTGACACTTTCTTAAATAAAAGGGCAAGACACACACTGGCAAACTCACTCCTCTTTCTGCTGCAGTTAAATGCAACAGCTGCTGAATTTAGCTGGAGATAGCTGCATTAATTTTGGAACCATCTTATGGCATAAGTGTCATCCCTTAATTGCCCCTGTTGCTGACAGTCTCCTTTTCTCATCCTCATCAGTTGAGCTTTCTTATCTCAGTTGTGTTTTGTTCTTTTCCTGCAGGAGAAAATACAAGAAAACATCGCAAAGGTAAGACTAAATCACAGAGGACTGTAAGGTATTTGTGAGTTATCTGTCTCTTTTTTGTTAGGGGCTTTGAAGGAGGATTTCCTGTTACAAGATTGGTTTTGTTCCCAATGAAATGCCATTCCATGGATTGTTGCCCTATTTGAAGACCAATCTTGCACTGCTGCTCTGCATTCCCTCTGGTGCTAGTGATAGTCCTCCTCTGTGATGTTGGTGGAAGATCTCCCTGAGTGAAGCCAAAAATATTTGCCCTTGAAGGTCAAACCTTAATAAACGTCACTGTGTTCCTTCTGCACGATCTGCTGGTCCTAACTCCTATCACTTACTCATCCTGTAATAAAAAAAATGGATTGTTGGCCTGTAATCTTGCTAATGATCTGTGCCTTTGCAGGAGACTGAAGGGATGCAGCATCTTGTCGATTAACAGGCCCTATTACAGCTCCCTGATTCAGTTAACTGACTGTCTCCTTGCAGGAGGGAGGACTAATGGGGTTCTTTGGCAGATTTGTTTTTCCCTCCTGGGAGCCCTTATGCTTGGTTTCTTCAGACCACACTCTCTACAGCCCAGATTTTTGGGGCTGAGCTGATTCCTCCTCCACATCTGGAGCATTAATTGGTGGCTTAGTCTCATGACATGCTGAGCATCTTTAGTTTGTGTCAACTTTAACTGAATTTGAGACTCCTGCAGAGTGCTTCCTAAAGACTAAACCCTGCAATTCTACTGAGCATACCCTTCCCTGTTGTGTGGTGCTGGATGCTGGCAGCTTTGCTGTTGCCTGTTGCCTTGTGCTTCAGATGACCACCCCATGCAACACTGGTGGGACAGGCTGTGGGTATGCTTGAGTCACAGCCAAGAGAGGTGGCAGTTTGGTGGCATGAGTCACTGATGTATTGTCCTTGAATTGTGGCAGGTCAGTGGAAAAGGCTTATTCAGGGGTTTATGTGCTGAACTCTGCAGGTGGGTGTTGCATAGAGTGAGAAGCAGAGTGGAGAGAAGGTGAATGTTTTTCTAGATGTTTTTCTGCATTTGGAGCTGATACTACTTCTGCTCCACTTTTGCCCCATGTTTCCCTTGCTGTTCCATGAATGTTAATTATGAAGATGTCTGTGGCCAGAGGTGTGGGGCTGCTGCAAGAGGATTTATGCTGGGCCTGAAATGTTTTCCAGAATGAATGATTGCTGTTTGTGTGTTTGTGTCCTGCAGTGCGTTGTCAAGTACCATGTTTTATTTGTATATATTTTCTGTGTACATAACCTTAGTACCAGAGAGGCTTGTGTTCAACATCTCTTTTGTATGGGAGAGTGCAACCTCAGAAGATAGTTACAGGCTCCTACAATCTTGTATCAATAACATCGTGTGGATTAAATGCATCTGAAATGGCAATCTATTTAAGCATACCATTACAAGGTTAAGGTTTCCCCACCAGATGGACAGTTTGCACATATTGCCAACTGATGCAGAAGCATGATGTCTGGAAAAGAAGGTGGCAAGGCATCAAGAAGCTGGCATTCAGTAGCATCTATCTGAGATGGTAATTTGAGAAATACACGTAAACTTATGACTTGGCACAGGTCTCTACCTTTGATTCCCATATTTATCTGTTGTAGGATTTTCTTCTTTTTCCTTTGTTATATTTTTTTGGAAGCATCTCTGTGATTCATATTTTACCAGGCTCTGGAGGGCTGCTGGCAGTGCAAGCAGAACTGTCCTATTGTTACTTTTGCATCTTCCCCATTTCTCTTTGGGGAAACGTTGTGAGTAATCACATAATGATGCAGAAGCGGTAGTAAACAGCACTTGACTATGCAAGAGGAATGTTCTTCCATACCCAGCAGTGTAAAGAAACAGTTTTCCCTGAGTTCCTTGTTGAGAAGGAAGTTGTGCAAGAGGAGTTGTGAGAAAGAGCCCAAATGAAGTCTGAGCCACGCTAAAATTGTAATTGGAAATAACAGACACTGACTTCTGCGTTGATCATTTTCCTAATTGAGTTGACTTAAATGCTTTTGTAACAATAATATATTGATATGATTTTCCTCATAAAGTTGGAAGTTTCACAGCTGTCTAGACAACCCTAATTTCATTAGTCTCCACCCAGTAATTGCAGCTGAACCACTGAACTGTGATACTGATTAATCACAGCAATGTTGGAGAAGCAAGATATTTAACGAGAACTCAGGTCATCTATCATTCTTCCATCTCACTCACCTTGGGTAAGTGTTGAGTGGGTAGCTCAGGCAATAGTAGCTTGGAGAGGGTGTCATTAAAAGGGAGAGCAGACAGAAAGCAGGAGCTTTCATGAACTCCCAGGTCCTGCATTGCTTCTGCTTTTTCTGGAGCACCTGAAACATCGGTCGTGTTCTGTGTGACTGCTGAGGTTCCCAGCAACCCAAAAGCACCAAGCTGTGGGATGCTGTGGGAGGTACTCACTGCCTTCTGTTCACTGGGAGATGAGCAAGAAATGAACCTCTCAGGTAGCCCTTTGCATTCCCTTCTTAGGTTAGCTTTGTCTCCTCTGATGAAGTTATCTGCTGGAAAAGCAGTTCAGCCATCTGTAGGCAACCCAGGAGGCACCTGGAATGAATGGAGGAGGCATTATTGTGCAAAGTAATAGAAAACCCCACCAAAGGGGGTGCAATATTGGACCTGTTACTCGCCAGAGCAAATGAACTGATTGGTGACATCAGGATTGGAGGCTGCCTGTTCTGTAATACTTATGCAATGGTGGAGTTCACAATCCTAAAGAATATGCAACAGACAAATAGTAAAATTAGGACACTAAATTTTAGGAAAGCCAACTTCTGGGTCTTCAGGGAGTTAGTCAACAAAATCTTGTGAAAAACCGTCCTCAAAGACAAGTGAGCGAAACAGAGCTGGCGGATCTAAAAGGAAGCTTACCTTAGTCCACTAAAGCTCTCCATCCCCAGGTGTAGGAAGTCAGGAAAGGAAGGCAAGAGGCTGGCACGGCTGAACTGGGACCTATTGGTCAAACTAGAAAGCAGGAAATGCACAGGCAGTGTAAGCAGGGACAGGTCTCGTGGAAGGAGTATAGGGATATTGCTAGGCTGAGTAGGGATGGGATGAGGAATGCCAAAGCCCAGCTGGAACTGAACTTGTCAAGAGGTGTAAAGGAGGACAAAAAAGGCTTCTGCAGGTATATCAGCATGAAAAGGAAAGTCTCTTAAGAAGGTGTACCTCCTACAGAGAGCAGTATAGGCAGTCTGATAATAACAGGCAAGGAAAAGGCTGAGGTATTCAACAACTTATTTGCCTCAGTCTTCACTGGCAGCTGCTCTTCACACACCCCTCAAGCAGGTAGGTCAGAAGGTGGGGAATGGGGAAGCAATGCTCTTCCTGCTGTAAGCAAAGATCAGGTTCCTATTAAGGAATATTCATAAGTCTATGGGTCCCCCAGAGTATCTGAGGGAATTGGGTGATGTTGTCACCAAGCCACTCTCAGTGTCACGGTGGCCAGGTGAAGTCCCTGGTGACTGCAAAAAAGGCAATATATAACACTGATTTTTAAGATGGGTAGAAAGGATGACCCAAGGAACTACCGACCTGTCCACCTGACCTCTGTGCTGGGGAAGATGATGGAGCAGATCCTCCTGGAAGCTATGCTAAGGCACATGGAAGAGAGGGAGGTGATATGGGACGTCTAGCATAGCTTCACCAAAAGCTAGTCCTGCCTGACCAACCTTGTGGTGTTCTATGATGGTGTACTTGCATCAGAGGAGAAGGGAAGAGATAATGGTGCCATCTATCTGGATTTCAGTGAAGCCTTTGACAAGGCCCTACACAACATCCTTGCTTCTAAATTAGAAAGATACAGATTTGTTGGCAAAAAATGCATAGCTAATGGAGGTGGCCGTTGAAAAATAGTGTTTTGTAGCCGAGAATTTGCTCTGTCAAGTAGTGTTATTGTGCTCTTTGCAGCTGTTGTGTTTGCATATATGGAAATAAATAGGAGCATTAGTTTCAGAGAGATCTATGTATAAGAGGGGAGAGATTTAGATTGGGTATAAGAAAAAGTTTTTTACAATAAGGGCAGTGAAGTGCTGGGACCCCAGAAAACCCAGAGAGGTGGTGGTTGCCCTGTCCCTGGAGACTTTCAAGGTCAGGCTGGATGGGGATCTGAGCTGTAGGTGTACTGGTTCATTGCAGGAGGGTTGAACTAGATGACCTTTAAGAGTCCCTTCCAACTCAAATGGTTTGGTGATTCTATGACTTTGAGTTCAGCCAGTGCAGTCAGTTTAGCACTTCTAAGGACTCACTCAAGTCCTATACATCTTCTCAAGATTTGTCAAATGAATGATCCTGTGTTAGAAGGCTTTTTTTTTTTTTTTTTTTTTTTTTGCCATTATGATCATAGAATAGCTTGAGTTGGAAGGGACTTCAAACACCATCTAGTTCCAACCCCCAGTAATCTGCATGTGTACTCAGCCAGTAACACAGAACTGTGTCTGTTGTGTTCTGGTTTAGCTACATGTTGATTAATTGCACGATTCTATTTTCTTTTTTAAGATGCTAATGCTTCTCTTAAAGTTAACTCATTTTATCTAAAAACTAAGTGAAGAGTCCCAGTATTTTATCCATCCATCATGAATGACTGTATTTTTTTTCCTTCTACCTGTTAATGCCATGTATGGAATATAAGTATAGAAGAAGAAAGGTAACCAAAATGCCTTTGAAATATGGCTGTGGCGCTGAAAGAAGCATCTTAAAAGGCCTTCCAAAACACGAATGTGATGTCTTTAGAAATAAGATTATGTCACCATTAAAAAAGGTCAGTTTGTGACACAGACCACACAGTCGGACCATGAAAATCCCCTAATTTTCAGGGGAAATGCTGTTTGTGCAGTCAGGCAGTAAACACATTAACTGTTCTTTCCCATCTCTTTCCCACATTTTCTTTCTCCACTGTGCCCATGCTTCTCAGTTCCAGTTTGCTCTGGCATTTAGTGAATACACTCAGGGGAAAGAATGTCAGTGTGAACACCCTTCT